TATTCTAATTTTATATTTTGCAGAATAATCCACCGCACCGACACCCTTCGGCGCGAACAATTATTTGTTGTTATTCACGATTATGGATCGAGTACACGTTTCATTATGCGGTGACTGGCAACGTGCAAACTCACGTTGTTACTAACAAGTAGTAGCATAATCAAAACCGCCAGTTTAAAACCGTTATCGTTTTTCAATGCAACAGCAACGTGCCAGCTACAGATGAAGCAAACTGCAGCAAACTCGCTCCCCCCTAAGCATATCTAAGGTGACGATATCGTCATATGATATGGTCTACGATATCCTTTTGCAGACCCACTTGTCTCCCAGGATCTTGCTATATAACGCAACCCTCGCATACATGATCTTATCGGTTGCAGGTGCACCAGTTTCCGATGACACGTCCGTGATCTGGCTTGCCGATGGATATATTATGATTTCCATGTCTTACAATACTGGCTCAGATAATTTCGGATGCAACTGATATAACAAAGCTGTCGTTGGGATGGGTGTAGTTTAGGCATCAAGTACTTGTACAGCATATGACCTATCAGTATCAGAATACTTGAGCAACTCGTTGTTGGCCCCATACACGCGCGACAGAATTTCGGCATAAACAGCTGCGTTTAGGGTTGTGAACAAGCTCGCGGACATCGTATATGTTTTCTTAACATCTGGTTGTACGAGAGAAAAGTGGATCGGATACTTGAATACTACGTCCTGAGGAAGTATTTGTGGCCCAAAAACATCTTTCTTGGGATACTCCGGCCAGAATAGATTCAGCCTTAGCAGATTTAACATTGACTTGAACTTTATTGAATTGTTGGACTCCAAAATTCTGTCTAATATTTTCTTTACACCGCACATCTTCCGTTCCAAACCTATTTCGATTACTTTTATGTATGAAGACATGCCTAGAAAATGCTATACTAACCTCAAGTTACCTAATTACATTTTTGACATAGAGGCGTTCGCACGAGGAGCTGTCAAAGGTTACGATTTTCATGTCCGGATTTACTTCCGCAATCTTCCTCAACCACTCCATACAACTACCGCACGGATCAAGTGGGTTGAGCTCTGTTCGCTTCTTTTCCTGTGGCCAGATGAACTCCTCATTTCCAATTGTCAAGGCTTGGAGATCTGTTCAAACATCGAAGCATAGTGAGTAGTGAGTGACGAGTCGGGGACAGAGGAGTAACACAGTGGCACAGGGATAGTCGTGTAGATATCCACGCGCAGTGATACTATCGAACGCGTACTATCAACTGCAATAAACTATAAGCAAATTACGAGGGTTCAATATATATATATTTATATAGTCGATTTCACAAGGGCTCTACGTTTGTGCTCGAGCTGTTATAAACGAACCCGCACGTGTCATAAGGCGTACACTATGAAGCATAGTATTACGCTCATACAAATATACATGCACTTGCTACGCACATACTCTTATGTATATATGTAGTACCACATACACCAGAGAGCAATCCGACTAGAGAACGAAGAGATAGTCAAGTCAGCGAGACCTACCGCTATTGAAACGTTTGAGGGGTGCAAGGCAATCTTCATAGAAGCCTCGCGGAGGTACAGCATTCATTAGCGGTTGACTGCCGGGGGGTTTAGAGGTCGCTGCTGATTTGGTACCGTCAGTGGTTGTTGGTCCAGCATTCTGTGCCACGTCTAAGTTTTATATGAAACAACGGGTAGCGGATATGGTGTCATGAATTTCTTTTCAGAGTGCGGGCAACATCATAGTACAGGTCAGATCAACAACACAGGTCACAGGGTGCACAACCGATGCCTATTTTTTATACAAAACAACGGTTAGCGAATATGATATCATGCATTTTATGCAGAGTAGGTGATGTAAGGTATACCTACCTGAGAGTAAGCGATGTAATGTATACTTACCTGAGAATAGGTGATGTAATATATACCTACCTGAGAGTAGGTGATGTAATGTATACTTACCTGAGAGAACATTCGCAAGTGTATGGGCAGACCCCTTGGAGCCCTTTAACATGCCATGTTCTGTTGTCAATGACGTTTGCGTTTGATTCGTATCCGTTTGATTTGTATCCAGCTCTGTACTACGCCTGTCCCTCCGTGCGGGGTTGGGTGTTACGGCGGGTGTGGAAGCATTAGCGAGTTCGGGTAGAGATATGCTCAGTATGGCGATCATGTCAAAGTCTTTGCGCTTCAGCGACGGATCGGAGGCAATTGCTGTGCCGATGGCGTTTCTCTCACTGCAAAGCGAACCGGTTGGCATGGATACCTAATATGGAATGGCATTAATAGATATCTGTTTTGGAATGACATTAATAGATACCTGATTTGGAGTGATATTACTAGATACCTAATATGGAATGACATAATGTTTTAATAGATACCTTTTATAGAATGCCAATGAGCGTAGCCAATACAAATGCATACACTACAACCACACTGGTTCCGAGATGTAAGTAACGCGCCTATAAAATTTTCCCGCTAAAAATGCCAGTGAGGTCTTATGAATTGTGTCTAACGACGTATGGCTGCAGCAACGATTTAGTAAGAACCGCATTCTTGTCTCTATCAATCCGTAGCGTATGGCACCACCGCGATTCGGGGGCACAGGGACGTACACAAGCAAGCCAGACAATGTACACACACTTACCTCTATATTCATTCCGTACACATACTGTGACTCCTCTCCCGGCTTTGTATATCTCAGCACACTTAGCACAGGCTTCTTCGTTTTGCGTAGCCAGAACTCGTTGATTTCTGAGTCGCCATCCTCCACTATGCTGAGGAATCGATGCTGTATTGTGATTGTATTGTATTTGCGTATCAAATAGAGGGGTGTGGGGGAGGGGGGGTTTCACTCTTTCCCTCTGGGCCTCTGTAAGTGATTGTATAAGAACATAAACAAAGATCATACACCGTCGCAGCGCCGTATAAGGAACACACTGACACGGCCACGGTTGGAAGGTCTCACGAGCAACCGAGCACTCGAAGAGTGGCACAAGTGAGACATCCGATCTTACGATGGGAAGCACACAGGGCAGATGGGTTGTTGCACTATGGAGAAGGTACATGTCATACATACATGCATACACACACACACACACACACACACACACACACACACGACACGACACACACACACACACACACACACACGCACGACACACACACACACAC